TATTCACTTTGGGAGTATTCAAAGAAGATTGGGCCGAGGTTCTACCTGTTTGTGGTATTTAGAGGAGCATTGGTGATTAACATGCTAAATTAGAACAGCTGCATTACAAAGCGCCAGAGCGGAAGCTCAAAGGGAAAGCACTTATTTCTGTCATTCTGCGACTCCCCTGAAGTGCATACATTTACCATCCACGGATGGAGAGAAACAGCAAACTTATGAAGGGAAAATCAGCTCTGCTCTCGTTCTTTTTGTTCCGTCGTTACAACTGTTGGATTTAGACTTTATGGTCTTAGAAACATAGCTGGGGACTCAACAAATTGGGATTGTGGAATGCTTGGGGGCTGAGTGACTCTATGCTTGCCTCGTTGATTGTTTGTAGCAGCGTCGCCGCTTCTTTGGATAATAAAGCACCTTACTTATAGCTAACTAAGCCTCAACTAGCAGAAAGAGAAGCAACAATTGAGGTGCTCTAAAACTTGGAGATGCTGATAACTCTGCTTTTAACTGTATGTAACAATGCTATAAGGAATGGCAGCAGCAGTATGAGAACCGACTTTATGAAATATAAGGAATTGTTTTTTCCTCCCAAATATATCAGTTACAAGCCATGCTAGCCGTTGACAAAGATATTTTTTCTTCTCGAACTTTTATATATGAAGTCCAATGGGTTCACTGATTTGAAAGATGTAAAGAAATTCCTCTCAAAGCTTCCTAGCATAGAGAACAGGGAAAACAGATACCCCTATGACCTCTAGCCAGTTTCAATTAGAGCTTCGCAGTAAAGGGTACACATTTTGTAAATCCAACTTGATTTGTTTATCTTTATTTGCCAACCTATGAAGAAGTATAGGAGAGTCATGGTTAGGAAACCATATCCAGTTTATGCTAAGCAAGGTTTTGGGCTTTATTTCTAGCCTCCTTCCAAATCCTAGCTGTTAACACAGAAGAATGCAATTTCTATGTAAGTACATTTGAATGTACCTTTGGAGAGGCCAAAGAGTTCCGGAAAGATCTCCTGTATGCCCCTGGTTTTTCGGATCTAGTAGGAGACCAGAACCAAAAATCACCATCTTTTACAATGGAGTTAACTTAGCAAACTCCCCCAGTTGTATTCTTCTGTTGAATTTGAAAAGTAAAGGCCCAAGTGAATGCTAGTTGTCATACCAAAGAAAGATGCCAGCGCCATTACTAATGAACTTAGGATAAGGCGTTACCAGTTGCCTGAGTTGAAGAAGTTTTTCATAAAGAGTGAGGGACGACTTTGGAGCATAGCCTTAGCTTTTTGAGGAGAATTAGAAGCTTAATGGTGAAATGACCCATGCCAGATAAATGCACGGTACATCTTATTTGCTTGGCACCATCCACTTCACTCACATCAAAGGCAAGAAAACACACGGAAGGAATTCCTTCATAATTTTGAAAGGCAAGGCAATTCGGTAGGCGCACTCTTTTTTATTTATTTATTTTTCTAATATTCATGCAGCTAAGTCCTTCCAAGCCAAATATAACACCCCGTACATATGTTGAGGCAATAAGAATTTAACAATTCTGATGTTATCTTAACTTAACTGCTTATTGATTACCACTAACTAGGAAAATCACATTCACACTGAATCAGTCCATAAATCCATGTCTAAGACCAAATCATCCCAATCCCATTTGCCGCAGCCTTCATCACTACTCAATATATTAAGTTCATAAAACTGGCCAATATCCGTTCGCATATCACCAAGAATTCCAGGCTCCTCCACGCCGAGGCTGCTGTCGTCTTCTTTCACAAGCCCCTGGCCTTGTTGAGAAACTTCAACAAAGTGAAAAGGCGTCGACATGCTGCTTTCTTCTATTGTTGGCTGGCTATTTGGAACAATATCCGGGCTCCTTGGTTTCACTGAGCCTGTTGTCGCATTACCTCGTGGCTGGGGTCCGATTTCCACATTTATTGCATTTTCTTTCTCTTCAGTTTCTTGAGCAATATTGAGCTTTTTACTCAGGTGGCAATTCCAGTAATTCTTTACATCATTTGCTGTTCTTCCTGGGAGTCTTCCAGCAATCAGTGACCACCTGATCAGGCACATAAAGCCAAATTTAGTTTAGTTATAAGCTTTATGTTTCCTTAATCTTAAGCCTCGCTATCTTCGTTCATGAGAAATGAAATTAAAGGTTAATAAAAAGGTAATTCCCCAAGAGAATTCTCATCATTTCCAGTAGTAGGGGCTACTGTGATACTATGCCTTCTTTGGATGAATTTATTTATGAATCCATTCATCTATGACAATACATAGTTTTACATTCATAACTTTATCATGTTACAAAGAGAGAGAGCGATGGAGAAAATAACTTGCCTGTTTCCTAGGAGCTTGTGGAGCTTGATGATGAGGTGCACTTCCTCTTTTGCAAAACTCCCTCTTTTGATGTTTGGGCGTAGATAGTTTAACCATCTCAGCCTACAGCTTTTGCGGCACCGGTTGAGACCTATAATGATAACACCAAAGTACACCAAGCATTAATAAATGAACATGAAAATTGATAATATCACAACTTCAACTTCATAGCCTTCATCGACAAATAGAGACTTTTTTTCTTGCTGATTTTTTCTATGAAACTTAATATATATATGCTCGTGAACAATCACTCAGCTTACTTTGCTATGAATCATAGGCAAAGGAATCGTACCTACGAGGAAAAACGAATTTCAATTTATGACTTGAAAGGCACAATTCTCAAAATTAACTGAGCCTAATAAAGAAGGGGCCAAGTACCCCTGAAACCTGCATGTGGTGAATCTGGTTGACATATTCATTCGTGACATGGCTCTCTACAACTATTGCAGACATTCAATGGAAGAGAACGAAGAGGGAAAAAGAAGAGAAAGAATGAATAATTTCAAGAAATGAATAATCTTGAAAAACCTTGGCAAGCACCCTCTATACCTAACAAAATACATATATCTAAGTAATAAGTGTATTAATCTGCTTAAGAAGGGAATCAAACCCTCCCCAGTGATATGCACATCTTCGTTTTATTCAAAGCTAGCCCTTTTCCACTAAGCTGAACGAAGTGTAAATTTAGACTGCAAACCAATATTACCAGCCAAAAGAGGTACACGCTGCCACTTCCCTTCTCCATACTGCTCTATACATTTCTTGAGCAAGTGATCCTCTTCTTCAGTCCAAGCAACGCCTCCCATATTATCTCTCCTTCACCAGTTTGATCATACAATCACTGTTATACTCACCCGGCCCACTGATAGACATACTTGAACTGCAGCTCCCTATTTATCCATTAGTGATTGCACTTTCATCTATGTTTTCTAACACCAATATCCAACAATTACAGGCCTGAATTTTTTGGGAGAATGGTCCCTGCCCCTTTCTAGGATTGTCCTAATGTTTCTATATGTTTATGAAGAGGCATCATGAGTACAGCTGTGGGCTCCAAGTCACAAAACTTTGTGCAAATTTCATA